AATGCTCTTCTTCCTCTTTTTAAACAGGTTTTAGGAGCTTGTTGGTACCTGTTATCAATAGAAAGACAGGAGGCATGCTGGAGAAGAGTATGCTATGATCAGAAGCCATCTTGTGAGTATGGTTTCTTCGATTGCCACAGGGCAAATGATTTCAACAGGACTGCCTGGTTCCAGTCAAGCAATGTCTCTGGCTTATGCAATCCCTCGAGTGGTTTTTATGAGTTTGGCATATATAGCGATGCGGTGACATCAGAAGTGACTGCATCTCCGTTCTTCAACAAGTACTTTTACTGCCTTTGGTGGGGCTTGAGGAATCTGAGGTAAGATAACAGGAGATTACTCTGTTTCTGGAATTAGTAGTTTGTACCAATTTTCTTCTTTATAACGGTACAAGGTTTCGTGTTTGACTATGATCAATGGACATGCTCTAACATTCTTGCCTTACCGTATACATCTGAAACTTTTCTCTATATGCTTGACTATATCTGAAATTTAAGCACTATGGTTGGAAACCACAGATAGATTTGCCAAGATGCTCTTTCTTTTTCTATATCTACATTTAGAGTCAAATATCATTCTTGTTCAACTACTGTCGAGTTCAGATGATGATCTTTGATTGCACTTGCAGTTCTTTGGGACAAAATCTCTCAACGAGCACATATGTCGGAGAAATTATTTTTGCCATAATCATTGCGACTCTAGGGCTGGTTCTCTTTGGATTGCTGATTGGAAATATGCAAGTAAGAATGAATGACTCACCATTTTTCTTCTTTCATTTCCTATATGTGTTCTTCAGTTTAAAAAAAATTTAATAACTGAACAAGTATTGAAAACGATGCAGAATGCTTCAGTTTACTTAAACAGGTAATGTTAGATACTAATGTGCTCATCTAACAGACATACCTCCAATCTACTACGGTCCGACTGGAAGAGTGGAGGATCAAGAGAACAGATACAGAACAGTGGATGCATCACAGGCAACTACCTCCGAAGCTGAAGCAATCCGTTCGAAAACATGACCAGTTCAGGTGGATTGCCACTAGAGGCGTCGATGAGGAAACTATTCTGAAAGGCCTTCCCGTGGATCTCAGGAGGGACATCAAGCGTCATCTGTGCCTCGATCTAGTTCGACGTGTAAGTCTGAAACTATCGCCACTAGGCAACTTCATTAGTCATCCATATGTGTCGTACTATGGTTCCTAATTAAGTCGACATGACAGTCGAGCTTCGATATGCCCCAACAACAAAAAATAGCTATTCTGATGTTAGTCAACTTCATTTGTGGGAAACTGATATCAATTAGGCTGCAGAATACTGATACTCATGTTTGAATTTGTTTCTTGGTGAATAAACAGGTACCGTTATTTGATCAAATGGATGAAGGAATGCTGGATGCGATCTGCGAGAGGCTGAAACCCACCTTGTGCACCGAAGGCACATTCCTAGTGCGTGAAGGCGATCCCGTCAACGAGATGCTCTTCATCATTCGAGGCCATCTTGACTCTTACACCACCAACGGCGGACGCACCGGTTTCTTCAATTCATGCTGCATTGGACCTGGCGACTTCTGCGGAGAAGAACTGCTCACGTGGGCCCTGGACCCGCGCCTGAGCGTGATCCTCCCGTCATCGACCCGGACAGTCAAATCCATATCAGAAGTTGAGGCATTTGCCCTTAGCGCGGAAGACTTGAAGTTTGTGGCATCACAGTTCCGGAGGCTGCACAGCAAGCAGCTGCGGCACAAGTTCAGGTTCTACTCGCATCATTGGCGAACATGGGCCGTTTGCTTCATACAAGCTGCATGGCGCCGGTTCAAGAAGCGGAAGGAAGTCGCCGAGCTTAAGGCTCAAGAGAGCCTCAAACAGTGTGTTAAGGCCGCCAAAAAGGTCCCGACCACCTCAGGACTGGCTTCATACGCGACTAGGCTAGCCGCAAGCACAAGGTTAGGCGGTGGGCATAGTCATTATGGCTCAGACCCAAGTGCCATTGCATCGCTACAGAAGCCAGCGGAGCCAGACTTCTCTGTTGACGAAGATTGAGCGGAGAACAAATCAATGATATATGTACATTGATTGCCTTATAAGAAGTTAACAGAAAGGGACGACATATGGTGATTCTTTCATTGATTGGGAGGAAGATATAGAAGTAAGAGATATTTACATGTTAAGAGAGACATATTGTAGCCGATGCATGTTGTAGCTAAGACAATGAAGACAGCTTGTCCTTCATTTTAAAAGTACAAGCAGAAGCTTCGGAGGCAAAATTTGCAGCAAGTGTCATTCATGGTTGACAATGGTAAGAAATGCAAATGCTAATTCTTGGAAGATCAAAGTTGTCACATAATTAATGTGCTCCTCTTTAGATCGGAGGGGTGTAGGGAAATCACAAACAACGCACAGAAAAATATCATCGGTTAGATTGATTTATTATATCAAATCAATCACATATCAAGATAAATTCAAGCCGCTAAAAACCCAAATGAGCAGTGCGACGATGACGAAGATTTTCCTGGCAAGTCCATAATCAATCTCTTGATCTAGAGTTCAAGCCCAAATGAACTGAATCATAAGAAACTTGCAAGTAGCCCGTGACTAAGTGCTGCGCACGCTTGCGTGTGTGAGAGAGAGAATCCAAAAACACGAAAAATGAAAAAAGAAGTAAAATTGCTTTGAAAGAAAAGTATATTCTATTCTATCACATGGGACATAAGCAAAGCATTAGGAATTTGGAAGTAGGTCCCTCCTTTTGAAGTGGGGGATGTAACTTGGTTAGTTATTGAAGATGTGCGGGTCCCTTTTTTGTGTTTTTTGACTAATGGCCTGTTTTTCTAAGTTCCTCAAGTGATTATTGAGAGAAAAGCATGTAGTTTAATCATCATCTTGCATCAAAAGTAAAGCTTACTCTACTTTGTTGAACGGAATATCAAAAAGGTCGTCGCAGCTCATAATTCCTCCCCTATGTGCATTATTATATGCAATTTACTAAGCTTTTCGCGCTGCTATTTTGAATCGAAAGTCTTCATCGAGGTTAACTTTTAAGCATTTTGGTGATTATGTTGACCATTCAATTGCTCAATTAACAACTGGATACGATCTGTCCATAGCTTAACCAATTGATTTCCAAGATAATGACTCTTGAGGTGAAGAAGTGGTCCCCAAACTCCATGCAATGTCTCAATTACGTGCGTTTTTCTAGCTAAAATTTGATTCCAACCTAAAATTCCAAGACCCATATGACCTGGGTTCACATGCATGATGTCGAACTAAATATATCATTTTGCGGGTACACATTTGCTTACCCTGAAATTAAGCACTCTTCTGCTCTGATGATTGAGGGTTTGATGGAGCGAAGAGAGCCGCGTACATTCTCCATAGACAAATCAAAAGTCGGTGGTCACTTTTCACTCTTTCCTATTCTTTAAATTTGATTTTGAATACAAATCAATAAACATATCCTGATGTAACGTACTCTCACATATTGCTTTCTCATGATTGAAATTGAATTGCTTTCCTGGCTATGTTTTATCTTCTTGACAGATATATCCATCGCGAGGGAATTGATTGCGCTGAGAAATGTGATGGAAGTAGAAATCTAAGGGGGCTTTGGAATGAGAAAGGTCTTGCAAAGCGATGCAAGTGGGAACATGATGGGAAGAGATTCATTCAGAGTCAAACAAAGCAACAAAGAGATTCCACTACCTTCGCAACAGGGAAAGAGCTGAATTCTTGCGAGGGAAATTCCACTTGACAACCTTCGACAGATCGCTTTCGACTGACGTCGAGAAAGCGGTAAATGCAGTGCGAGTTGTTCTTGTTGTCCCACCGAGAACATTCCCATAAAGCCGACCTTTCAGTCTTATGTGCTCTGACGATCAAAGTTGGAAAAAAGAAGAACGAAAAAATCTTTGGTGTTCGCTGTAGACCTTTGTGTGAATAGAGACGCTGTGCCCACATTTATGGAGTGCGCAAGTCTCATTCTTTCTACGCCAACTCACCTCCGTGGTAAGTGTGGATTGAGTCATTCCAGTGTCAAAAAGGGGACTGCACGATGGTGACCACATAATAAGTCCTTCCTCCTCCTTATCCAAAGAAAAGGAATCACCTCTTTAGAATGGATCAATTATTGGAAGTCCTTTGTCAAAAGGGGTCTTTGAAGCTGTTTCCAAAGTGGTTTCAAGCTCTTGATTTGAGGTATTGCAATCGAATCATTTGAGACTTGAATGTCGGGATCGGGCAATATTTCTAACCAGTCACCACCATCCCGATTCCGTCAAAGACAAGCTCACTCGATCCTACTTTGGGTTTGTGAAACGATGAAGTGCAGGTACTTTGCTGTCGATTGAATTAGTCTTAGAAATAGTAGCGATTGCACATTTCTTGAGGACGTGTATACCCCATCATTCAGTCGAGAGAATTTCAATGAGGAGTATTTTAGACCCCAAAACGAAAGCGAGGGTATAGAGAGCACATGATGAGATGGGTGTGGTTTGGTCCAATTGAGAGTGAGAAATAAAGTATGGAGGGGAGTCTCCGGTGCATGCAACGATTCTGCCAACCATGGGGTGGGTGGTTTAAGGCTTTGGGGGTGCAAGAAATGAAGATGATTCCTTATTCTCAACAATTAAAAAGAATAAAGAATCCGTCTTATTTTATTAAGTCAAGTGTCATTCTTTCGATTATAATTGATGCGGCACAGAATGAATATACTTAGAATATTTCCGATAAGTATGCTAGACATACATTTTCTAGCCCGGGGATATTTGTTCCTACTAACTTCAAATCAAATATATTGAGTCCATGTTTTCATTGTTTCAAAGGTCCGGACATGGCTGGCAAAAGTTGATTAGAGAACAATCCTAGAATCCGTGTCGAGGAATTGAAGCGGTGGAGCCCGCAAGAGATAAAACAAAGGTGGACCCTACATGCATGGCTTTGTGACTATGATTGAAGCTGCTAGTGCTAGGGTTGTGCTGATTTGCATTGCCATAAAACGAGAAGAGCCAAAGAAGAATCCTTCGTCCATCGATTTTATATACAAACTCAGCTCCTCTCATATCAGTCTCAGCCCGGGAATAGGAAAGGCTTTGCATCTTTTCATAATCACCACAGAGAGAGAGAGAGAGAGAGAGAGAGAGAGAGAGAGAGAGAGAGAGAGAGAGAGAGAGAGAGAGAGATGGAGATGAAGCAATCATCAAAGTTCAAGAGGGTATGTGTGTTCTGTGGGAGCAGCCAAGGGAAGAAGAGCAGCTATAAGGATGCTGCTATTGAGCTCGGCAAAGAACTGGTTTGCTTTGCCTCTCTCTCTATTTTTACGCTTTAGTTATATCCCTGTAGTTCTCTTCGTTTGCTTTGGTGTGGCAAGTCCTTTGCATAAGAAAGTAAATCGATATTGCGGTTCGGTCCATCAAAATGACGAGTAATGCCTTAGTTGTTTTTTCGCTGTTGAAGGTGTCGAGGAATATCGATCTAGTGTATGGAGGAGGGAGCATCGGATTGATGGGTCTTGTTTCGCAAGCCGTCTACAGCGGGGGCCGCCATGTCGTCGGGTGAGTGATCTCGTCATCGTCATCACATGAAACAGTGCTAAAAAGAAAGCGAGAATCATGAAGATAAATAGGTCAAGCTCAGCGTCAATTGATTACGTGCTTGTTTTTGCAGCGTCATTCCCAAAACTCTCATGCCTCCAGAGGTACGTATTTCTAGTATGCTACCTTTGAGAACAGTATCTTAATACATCGGTTGTCGTGCCACCAACGTAGAGTAATAACAAAGCCAATCACGGTACTCGCACGATGTGAATCCCGACAAACCTGTAACCGGTGAACAGGGATGCCAAGTCCAATCAAGTTTGGGGCCAAGCGGGGGCATGGAAGAAGCAGCAAAGAGCCTCTCCTCTCTTTTCTTGCTGGAGCCCTAGAGTACACTAGGTTCGTCCGAATCGCAGGAGACTCCATCCCTCGATTTGTACGCTTGTCCTGGTCCACGGCATTTGTCCGTCTCTGCTAGTTTTCACATGCCCCCTGGTTAGATATGCTTTCACCCTCGTACCTTCCTTGCACCCGCCTTTTGATGGCGTGAGCGTGTCCCCTCTTCGCTTTTTGTCAGTGTCCCAGTTTGGCCTCCACCCATATGAGTTCCGCACTCGCCCTTGAGGCTTGAAATCATGCGAGCCTATTCCATCTCGGCTCACGTGCATCGGGCGAATGCTGACTAGCCCCGTACAACGAGATTTTAAGAAAAGCCTGTTATTCCTTCTCTTGTGTCCGTCTCTCCCTCCGTGAGTTTTTTTCTGACAAAATGAAAAACAGGCGAAGGTGGGTTTCGATCTGCATGTTTTAAGCATGGGGATTCGTATGGTGAGAAAAAGTTGTTTGTGGTCTGGCAGATAACTGGAGAAACAGTGGGAGAAGTGAAGGCAGTCGCTGACATGCACGAGAGGAAGGCAGAGATGGCTCGACGTTCGGACGCCTTCATCGCCTTGCCTGGTTAGTAGTGCGCGCACGTAAAAATCCCCTCGAAACATGTTCATGCCTTGTACTGAATTCATTCCATTTCAACTAAGATCAGATCAGGTTTCTGACCAAGGTCCAAGGTTGGCTTGACCAATTCGGGCTTAGTTTCGACACTCGGCCCATGTTGAACCCAAGTGGTTTGGTCTGAATCTGAATTTGCAACATTCGAAACTCATACTCATGCTCACTTACCAAAAATGGGAAAAGAGCACTAAAAACCTCAAACTATATTTACTGTGACATATTTACTTCAAACTTTTTTTTACACTCAAAATCCCAAATTATGCACATAGTGACACATTTACCCTCTGTTAGGGTTCGGTTAAAAATTTCCGTTAAAACTCTGATGTGGCGCTCGCATGACGCCACATCAGAAAAAAATCATTGTTCATCGTGAGTTACTGTTCATCATCTTCTCGCTCGGCCAGAGCTCTTCCGGAGCTCGTCCGTCGCTGCTCACTACCGCCTGGACCTCCAGGAGCTTCGTCGTAGCTACCGACCATGGCGGTTGTGAGCTCGAAGCTTGGCCATGGCCGCTCCGCTCGAGCTCGAAGCTTGACCTGAGGGCGAAACTTGGCCGAAGTGGATCTTCGTCATCGTCTTCCTCTTCTTCGTCATCAAGCCAAGCTTCGAGCTCAAGTGGAGCGGCCATGGCCAAGCTTCAAGCTCGCAGCCACCATGGTCAGCAGCTATGACGAAGCTCTCGGAGGTCCAAGTGGCAGTGAGCAGCGACGGACGAGCTCTGGAAGAGCTCCGAGAAGATGATGAACAGTAACTTCGAAGATGACGAACAGTAACTCGCAATGAACAGTGACTTTTTTAAATTTTTTTAATAATATGGCGCCACGCGAGCGCCACGTCAGCACCACGTCAGAGTTTTAACAGAGATTTTTAACAAAATCCTAACGGAAGGTAAATGTGTCACAATGTGCATAGCTTGGGGTTTTTGGTGTCACAAAAAAAGTTTGAGATAAATGTATCATAATTGGCATAATTTGAGATTTTTGGTGGTCTTTTCCCCCTCGAAAAGGGAGAAAAAAGCATACTATTCTCGAGATTTATGTATGGCATATGAATCTCCATCAAACTAATGATCTAAACCGAACTAATTTGTTGGCGAAGTTGGTAAATTTGGTGTATGATTTTTACAAGGGGGTTATGGGACGATGGAGGAACTTCTGGAGGTGATAACCTGGGCCCAACTAGGCATCCATGACAAACCGGTAATTCATCTTTTTGCTTTAGTTAATTTTATTCTCCGTTTCTTTCGCGAAAAATATGATGATTCCGAAAAATATTTTCAGGGAAGTCATTTTTTAGAAAAAAATGACTATTTTTCATGTGTTTGGCCGAGATCTAAAAATGAACTAGAAAATATTTTCCGTTATTGAGTAAGAAAAATCTCATTTGATCGGAAATTGCTAACGTGGACGTCACCATCCTACATAGTACGGCCGCACTGACGTGGACAATTTTTGTAATTTTTTTAAAAATAAATCGAATTATATATTATTTATGAATTTTTCTTTTTTTTTTCCTTTTCTTTCATTTTTTTCTTTTCTTTTTCCTTCATCCTCCACCGGTCGCCGATCCTCGGCGACAGCCAGCGTCAGGCCTCAACGATTGACGAAGGAAGAAGGAAAAAGAAAAAGAAAGAAAAGAAGATAATAAAATAAAATATTAAAAAACTAGAAATGTTTTTTTTTAAAATTTGGACTCGATGGACCGGGCACGAGCGTTGAGGACCCAAGCTCGGTCTCTATATTATTGGGCCTAGTGTCCCGAGCACGGGCACCGATGTCCCAAGCCTAGCCTTAATGGACCTAGGCGGTCAGGGTCTCGAGTGTGGCCTAGATGGACCCAGGCTATGGCACTAGAGTCTCGAGCCCAACCTCAATGGACTCGGGCCTAGGCACTAGGGACCTTGCCCCGCTGCCAAGGGCCCGAGAACTAGCATTGGGGTTGTTCATGTGCCCAAGCGTAGAGTTTCTGGTTCAAGCACTAATACCAAGTCATATTTTGAAAAATAATTTCTAATTTTTTAAAGAGAAATCATTTTTCTGAATTTATGTTTTGATAGGAAAATCTTTTTCCGTTAATTTATTTTCCTAAATTATATAAACGCCGGAAAATGAGGAAAATGATTTCTCGAAAAATGTTTTTCGCGAAACAAACGGGCCCTAATTTTTTAAATTGATCTTGATTTGAAAATTTCCTCTTCTTGCATTCCTAAAATACTAAAGATAAATTTTGCAGGTGGGAATGTTGAATGTAGATGGGTACTACAACCCCTTGCTGCAGTTCATCGATAAAGCAGTGGAGGAAGGTTTCATCAGGCCCAATGCACGCCACATCATTGTATCTGCCCCTAGCGCCCGGGACTTGATCAAGAGGATGGAGGTAATTAAAAAATTTCATTAGAATTAACACTTCGATTTTTCGTAATGTTCGCTATCTTCATGCTTGGTTCACTTCCAATTAATTTTGGTTGATTCGTATTAAAGAGAAAAATTGTGGTATGAATTCTGCAGGAGTATTATCCGCGCCATGAAAGGGTGGCTTCGAAGCTAAGTTGGGAGATGGAGCAACTGGCCTACTCTGCAAATTGCGACATCTCCAGATGAACGAGAAAGAAAAAGGAAGAAAATTGGAAAAGAATGATCCTGGTGAATTAAGTAAATTAAAAGGATGACTCAAGAATTGTGGCATTCTGTACCCTCATTGTTTCTCTTGTAAATTAAAAGTTGGCCTCAAGACAATGGGCTATAATCTAGACCATGCATTTATTTAGCTGTAAATTTTTCTAATTCACTCTGAATTTGGTATAGGGAAAGAACGTAATATAAGTTTAAATGATTATTGTTTGATCATTCCTTTATTCGTTGAAGTTTCTCTTGGCGCAACATTTTGAACTACCAAGAGAAAGCAAATGGATTGCTAAGCAAACACTTAGCGTGAACTCTCCACGTGTATACCAATTGCAACTTTGGAGTTTTAATTAAGTAAACATGCAGTTTTAATTCATTTAGGAGTCGCTACTTATCTATTATGTATTGATTAGAAACCCAAGTAAAATGTAAGAGAATATTTTACATCTGCAAACTAGAAATTTTATGGATATGGGGAATTGATTACGCTAGATAAATCTAAAGCTCTTTCGATACATTTTCTCTTTATTTCAAACATTTTGCTAGCAGTCTTGGTCAATTTTAATTCTAATTCACTAACATGAGACGGGTGATCATGAGGGTGCGCAGACAGAAATTTAACACTCAATAATTTAAGCAATAAATTAATTGCTAGAAAAAGCATTAAGCTAAGCAAAACTCCATTATGTTCAAAGCATCAAGCATTCTGCAAAATATTAACTGAAGACCAAACAATACATGCACCCTAAGCATGATTTCTAAATGCAATGTCTATTAATTCTTTTAGGGTTTTCCTGTTTAAAAAATGGGCATGACTTATATTTAATTAAAATATTATTACTATACGAGCTCTAATCTAACATGCATTAATGGAATATACAGAATTCTAAATGACATGTAAGCTATATTCATAACTTAAATATAATCTATATACAATTCTAATGAGATGAATTAGGATTAACCATGAATTAAAGGGTTAATACCATGAAAAATCCCAAACTAGTACAACTGTGACAAATTTACCTCAAACTAATTTTTGGACCACCAAAAACCCCAAATTGGTACATCGGTGACAAATTTATCATCCGTTAGTTTTCGTTAAATTTTACTGTCAAATTGAGTTGGATGACACGTGGCAATTAACAGGTGTACCGGTTTAGGGTTTTACCTTCCGTTTGTCACATATATACTAGTTTGTGATTTTTGTGGTATTAATCCAATTTAACGGAAACTAAAGGAAGGTAAATTTGTCATAAATGTACAAGTTTAGGATTTTTTATGATAAATTTATCACAGGTGTACCAGTTTGGGGTTTTTCGTGGTATTAACCCTTACTTAAATTACAGGGGAGATTTTTGTATTTTCCTTTTTTTATAGAAACAATAGACTAAACTGTAGGAAACTAACATTACCTAATGACTTTTATTAAAAGATGACTAACAATGCAATCCAATTATATTTGGTGTTTTCTTTTTATGATTTAAAATAGGAAACTTTCTAAAATGACTATGACCAATTAGGAAATAGTGCATAGAAGTTTATGCTTTTCCTAAATTACGACATGTCTCGTAATGCACCAAAGATATGAATTTATAAATTAGGGAACATGCATGAATGTAATCGAAGCCAAATGTAATGCAATCATTTTTATATTTATTTTATATCATGCATATGCCTAATCTAATCATGTATAAAATCTAACACCCTAAATGATAGATTATATTAAATATTACTACGTCCAAATAAGGAAACAAATTTAATTAAGGGTCCAATCTTTAGTCCCAAAGATCATATCCCCAATTATAAACTTATAAGGTAACTGTCTATTCGGTAACATCTAAGCAAAATCACACCAAATCTGAGTTAGAATCATATAATTTCAAATTAGGCAATTAAAAATTCAAAATCGATTATAGTTTTGGAATATACCTTAATTGGAACTTTGACTCAAACGACGAAGGAGGATCACGGCACCGACCGGCAAGGGTTGGCGACGGTGAAGGGAAACCGGCGCAATGACAAACGAGCAGACACGGCGAGGACTCACTGAACACAATACTGAGGACGGCAGCTGGTGGATCTTCACGGCAGGGCAGTTAGGGACACGCCGGGAGCTAGACGGAGGCTGTTGAGTGCGTCGGTGATCTTGCAAAGAAAGAAAAGCTTGCGGCAGGAGGCTGCGGGACGTTGAGTGAAGCTGCTGGGTGTCACGGCTGAGGAAGATGCGAGCTGGAAGTCACCGAAGTTATTGGAATCACTAGAAATTCGCCTAAAAACCACTGGTTACTCATCAGAGATTGCAGGCCACTCAATGAGGTTGTGGGGCGAGCTGAGTGGCCACGTGAGGTGGCAGAATGGGCTGGCTAGGAGCATCGGGACTGCAAGAACGCCTAGGCTCGTCAAGGTGTGGTGGTGAGACTCGATGGGAGGCCCGGCGTGATGCATAAGTAGCGACGTTGTCGCTAGGAGTGTGCAAAAGAACCGGACCAGACCAAACCGGCCAATTTTGGGCGGTTCCCACGGGAACCGGTGAATACCGATCCGGTTCTTGATTTTAAGTGTGGAACCATCCACTCGGACCATCCAAATCGGACAGATACTCCTATCTCATGGTTACATATATTAATTTTATATTTTCAAAACCGCAATTCCAGCTCTCATGCTTCTCGGTCCTCACACTCTCTCTCAAAAAAACCCTAATTCCTCTCATCTCTCTCGTAGCTTGCTCTCTCACTCTCTCGTAGTCTTGCTCTCGCAACTCGCTCTTGCACGGTCGCAGGTCGCAGCCTTGCTCACCACTCAGGACGCGAATCTCTCTTCTCGCAGCCTCGCTCGCTCATGACACTCGTCACTTCCTCTCTCATAAGTTCAAAATCCTAATTGCCACTTGCCCCTTTTTCTAGTTTCTTCACTCAAGTCTCACGCCTCTTTCTCGCAGTCAGAGCCTTGCTAGCTCACAGTGTATAATGCTCCCTCTCCTGTGAGGTCCTTGGCCCATTTGTTCAACATATTATCTGAGACGTTGTGCATTGGTACTCGATTTTGGCGGAGGTCAATACGACAATGACTTATTGGGTTAAGCTTTTCTCGTAGATTATTTAGCTGATTTTGGAGTTGATGCTATTTCATGACTCAATAAACTCGTTTCATTTGTGAGGCAAAGTAATGTCGCAAACATCAATTAGTATTTGCCGAGATCAGTTCCATGGACTCACTCGGTAACTGGATCGGTTCGGGTCCCAATTTGTGGAACCGACTCTCGCTAAACCAATCACCTCTAATTGTCGTGGTGGCGAGTGGGTGCTCTTCTAAAGTTGTGAACCTCTCTTTATTGTATGCCAACCTCCTCTACTTTCGAACCTCAACCTTTTATAGACTTAGGATTATGGTTATCTCAAGGTACCAATCAATGCATCACTTTCCTATTTTAGACCAAAAAGATATATTGACTCCCTCACCTTAGGAAATTAAGATATCCTTCTAATTATCTCCGTAATTAAAATCGTTAAAGATAATATCTTTATCTCCTCCAAATTTAATTAGAAAATGCAATATTTCCCAGTTTGGCACGCCATGTGCTAAGCACATGCAATTTTCGGCCACAAAGGGGTATGCAATAGGCTTGATGGAATTTCGTACTCCTGCGGGCTTAGTTTAATTAAGCCCGTAGCCTCCCTTCAACTCAAGTCTAATTTAAATGGAATTTATGCGGGCATTATTACTAATAAAATGCTCCTAATATGCAAATGCAATTAACAATACTTTTATTTAGAGATCGCGGTGGAAACCTAATTTTCTATGCAATAAATGGGGTCAGCAAAATTTAAGTGTCAACATATTTTACATTTTGCGTGAGGAAATAGTAGAAAAATATAATGTCCATGCCGATACTTATAGCAAAATTACTCACATATATTTTCATAGGCTTGGCACCTCCCCCGTATAAACCTTGGGGAGTCATAATTAAGGTATCATCTTTACTTAAAGTGCTATTTGTTTACTTAGAATCTCCATAATATCAAATTGTTGTACGATTCCTTTGATATTGTAGCTGGGGTATCTTCAAATTTTCATTGATATTGTATAAAAACAATAATTTCGTACTTTGTCTAATTTTTTTCAATTAAAGGCAGATCCGCTAATTTCATAGGAAAAAAAATGCATATGCATCATTTGACTTTGTTCGTATTTTCTAGGATCAAGTGCTGCACCGTACGGCACATCCTAGGTGATCAACTCGAGATTTCTCTCTAGAAACTCCAGCGCACTTAAGAATCAAAGTCATAGAAAAACCATGTGAAAATGCCTCGACAAGAACATATTAGGCATCATTCCACTTGTACTTGCAGGTTTTCCTAAATATGAGATCCAACCCATCTTCGGAGACTTCGGAATTCAGATACATATGCAGTACAACGAGGTTGTCCTATGTGGAATAAGTGGGCGCCACATGCTGATATTCTCCCTTTGGACTTCTTTATCCACGTTTGACATTGTTCGATCTTGATCTTGATGTTAGGAAAAATGTTTTGGACATTCTTTTGGGCGCAAAGGAAAGAGAGACACGACCTACTTCATTCCAAAGATGTCCAGCGCCTAACAAATCAGAAATTAGGAAATGATTCGATTCCCACGGGAGGGACGATCGTAGATGACGAGATGGTCCCTTTGATGGGCACCGCTTTCGCTAAATAGTCGGTATGGAATCGTGTGCTGTAGCTCGAATCCACATTCAATCGTGTTCCTGATAGTGGCTTCGCGCAATACGCGTCTTAGCTCGATGGGTCCGGTTCCTGCACGGGTTGCGTTTGTGGCGACCATCACGGATAAGACCTCCTGCTGCCATCCCTGAGCAGGAAATTCCCATGCAATTGTCCTTTCTCTTCGTGGACTCGTGTTAGGTATCTCATCGTTAAAAGTCAAAGAGTAATCCACATCGAAACTCACAGTTTTTGGATTACATGCGACTCTTGGTCACGGTGGTTCTGCTTTTTCTACTTAAACTCCACGTTCAATAATCCAAGACTATACTTAGCGAGTCTTTCACGACAAGGTGTAAGTTTTGAACATGAACATGGATGGATAAATGATAGTGGAATCCAGCTTGTGATCCGCTCGTTAAAATAACTTTAAAAACAGTACTCATAGTTTAAAAATATTACAAATGGCGAGAGGCGACTGTTACCTAAAAAACAATTCGTGTTACCCTTTAATTTGTTCTAGGTAGAGAATGACCCGCTTTCTTTTTACGGTAAAATGGGGTATTCAAAACTTTTGAGTTAGATACTGTTGGAAATCGCAAAGGATTTTTCAGATCTCAAGGAGACTCTTCGTAACCCAAGTTCATCTTGATACTTGGAATCTAGAAAGTTGTTACCTAGGAGGTTATGTCTTTTAAGATAGCCTTTAATGTTATGAATCTAGACGTGTTTGTTCATGTGACTAGAGTAAACGTAGAGTCGTGTGTTAATCCTATATATATGTGCGTCTTGTAATCTTTTTTTATATACAAGCAAATACAATAGTATTTCAAATTTCCTTCTAACATTTGGTATCAGAGCCAGTTGGCTAAGTTTTGAGAGATCTCAAGTCAGATGGCTTCTGTGAGTAGTGCCGGGAATGTCCAACCTCAACTCCCAAGGTTTGATGGGAAGAATTTTGAGCATTGGAAGATCCAGATGGAGGTGCTGTTCGGATTCCAGGAGCTGACCGAGATTATCGAAGAAGGATTCGTCGAGCCAGAAGCAGCGGCAGATTCGACAACGGAGGAGCAGAGGACGATAAAAGAAAATCGTAAGAAAGATCGTAAGGCTCTCTTTTACATCTTTCAAGCGATAGATTCGTCAATCTTTGAAAAAGTGGCGAATTCGAAGACGGCGAAGGAAGCATGGGATACTCTCATCAAAATTTACAAAGGCGTTGAGAAGGTCCAGAAGGTTCGGCTTCAGACTCTTCGTCGACAATACGAGCTCCTTCAAATGGAAAAGTCGGAGTCCATTTCTGACTATTTCTCACGCGTATTGGCTCTTGTCAATCAAATGAAGGCCAATGGTGAGACTTTTGGCGATCAACAGATCGTCGAGAAGATTCTTCGGACGCTAACGTTGCAGTTCGAATATATTGTGACTTCCATTGAAGAATCCCGTGATCTCTCAGTTTTGACCGTGGATGAGTTGATTGGCTCTCTACAAATGCACGAGCAACGACTCAAGGAGAAGTCCAAGACGGTGGAGGAGGCTCTACAAAGCCAGTAGGTGTTACCCGATGAAAAGAAAAATCTTTCTACTCAAAAGAAAGATAAAAGGCGGCAGGAGAAGCAACCTCGACAACAAACAGATAAGTCCCATATTCAGTGTTTTAATTGTAAAAAGTATGGGCATTATAAATCTGAGTGTCGAAGCAAAAGGATTGGTGGTCAAAAGTTTCATGCTAAAGTAGCAAGTTCTGTCGATAGATTTGTTGAAAGCAATGATGAGCATGGTAATGCTCTTTTATTCACGTGTAATGCTTAAGTGGAGAACCAGAAGAATGTTTGGTACTTAGACACCGGATGCAGTAATCACATGTGTGGCGAGAAGGAGTTATTCTCGAATTTCGATGACACCTTTCGTTCGGAGGTGAGGTTCGGGAATAATGCAAAATTTCCTATCACGGGAAAGGGGAGCATTAAAATCAAAACAAAAGATGGGTCGGTTCAAAACATTTCCGACGTTCATTATGTTCCCGGTCTTCGAGAGAATCTCTTGAGCATGGGACAGTTGTCCGAGCGAGGCTATCACATGATCATCAAGGATGAGGTTTGCACGATTCATGATGGCAAAGGAGGATTGATTGCAAAGGTAAAAATGGCCCGAAATCGCCTTTTTCCTTTGTATATTAATTATGCTACGTCATGTTTTAGTGCCTCAGTGCAAGATTCTTCATGGCTTTGGCACAAGCGGTTCGGACATGTGAATTTCGACAGCTTGAAGCTGTTGTGTCGAAAGAAGATGGTGTGAGGTCTGCCCGAAATTTCTTCTCCAAAGGAGATATGTGAACCATGCGTCATTGGGAAGAAGTCCAGAGAAAGCTTTCTTTCAGGAAAATCATGGAGAGCGTCGAAGCCATTGGAGTTAGTTCACTCCGATCTCTACGGACCGCTTGGTGAATCGTCGAATCGCGGGTACAGGTATTTTGTTACCTTTATCGACGACTTTAGCAGAAAAACATGGGTTTATTTCTTGAAGCAGAAATCCGACACCATCGATACTTTCAAGGAGTTCAAAGCCTATGTCGAAAACCAAAGTGGGCACAAAATTCAGATTCTCCGAACTGATCGCGGCACAGAATATTTGGTTGGTGACGGCTTCTTCAAGCAATGCGGCATCAAGCATCAATTGACAGCACGATATACTCCTCAACAGAACGGAGTAGCGGAGAGAAAAAACCGCACTATCGTCGAAATGGTACGTACTATGCTTTGTTCTAAACATTTGCCGAAGCATTTTTGGGCGGAGGCGGTTGCTTGTGCTGTTTACTTATTGAACAGATGTCCCACTAAAGGTCTTGAGTTCAAGACACCGACGGAGGTGTGGAGTGGTCAAATCCCGTCAGTTCAGCATCTTCGTGTGTTTGGGTGTATTGCTTATGCCCATGTGCCAAATGAGCTTCGTAAGAAGCTTGATGAGAAGAGTGAGAAGTGCATCTTTCTCGGTTACAGCAATGAAACCAAGGGTTATTGGTTGTATAATCCGGTAACGAAAAAGGTGGTAATCAGTCGAGATGTTACCTTCGACGAGGAAGGTGAGTGGACTTGGAACACGGAAGAAAAGAAGCAGTTTCGCTTTGTCCTAGATGAGGAGGAGACGGTTCAGCCCGATTTATACAGTCAATCTGAACCAGTAGCGGCTTCGGTGGAACCAGATTCGATAGTAGAGACTTCGACAGCAGTTACTTCATCAAATTCTGTTGAAAATCTTATCGAAAATCTTGTTGAAGGTTCTTCACGTCCACGGCGAGAACGAGTTTTGCCGGCTCGTTTGAAGGATTTGTTTTGTCCAATGATGATGATCCCTCTGATGAAGAAATTATCAATTTTGCTCTCTTTGCAGATTGTGATCCGACAAAGTTTCAGGAGGCTTCCCAAGATAATGGTTGGGTTCGCGCGATGAATGATGAGATCCACGCGATTGAGAAAAATGATACGTGGGAGCTCACATCTCTCCCGGAAGGCAAAAAGTCCATCGGTGTGAAATGGGTCTATAAGACCAAGTACAAGCCTAATGGTGATGTTGATCGATTGAAGGCTCGTCTCGTAGTCAAGGGTTACAAACAAAAACCCGGGATTGACTATTTTGAGGTATTTGCTCCGGTTGCTAGACTGAATACCATTCATATGATCTTTGCCTTGGCTGCTCAGAAACATTGGAAAATACACCAGATGGATGTCAAGTCCGCATTTCTCAATGGCGTACTTGAGGAGGAAGTGTATGTGGATCAACCTGAAGGTTATGTCAAGAAAGGTCAAGAGGGCTTTGTCTACAAATTGAAGAAAGCTCTTTACGGCCTTAAGCAAGCACCGCGTGCGTGGTATACCAGAATTGACTCTTATTTTCTTAATCATGGTTTTACTTGATGTCCTTATGAGCATACTTTATATGTTAAGAATGGCTTGAAAGGTGAGATGCTCATTACTTGCTTATATGTCGATGATCTCATATTTACTGGAGATTGTCAAGAGATGATTTGTGATTTCAGGGAGGCTATGACTCATGAGTTTGAGATGGTAGACATGGGTCTGATGTATTATTTTCTCGGCCTAGAAGTTACACAATCGGAGGATGGTATTTTTATTTGTCAACAAAAGTATGCCAAGGATATTCTTGAGCGTTTCAAGATGGCTACTTGTAAACCAATCAGCACTCCCATGGAAGAAAGGTTGAAGTTGACAAAAGACGGAAGTGGTTCCGAAATTGATCCCACGTATTTCAAGAGGCTAGTTGGAAGTCTGAGATATTTGACTTCTACTCGGCCAGATCTTGTTTTTAGTGTTGGGATGGTAAGCAGATTTATGGAGCACCCTAGACAATCACACTTTCAGGCAGCGAAAAGAATTCTGCGATACATTAAAGGTACTGTGAATGATGGTGTATTCTACACTGCTTCTGATAATTTTCAGCTTGTGGGATATACAGACAGTGATTGGGGAGGTGATATTGAAGAAAGAAAGAGTACTTCCGGGTATGTTTTCTCTTTAGGAAATGGAATTTTTTCTTGGGCTTCAAAGAAGCAGCGGGTGGTTGCTTTGTCTAGTGCTGAAGCGGAATACATAGCAGCAGCTTATTGTGCTACTCAAGCAGTTTGGCTGCGTTCGATGCTCGCTGAGTTACAGCATAAGCAGGAGCATTCGACGGTGATTTATTGTGATAACAAGTCAGCAATTGCCCTTGCAAAGAATCCAGTCTTCCATGGAAGAAGCAAGCACATTGATATAAAATACCACTTCATTCGAGATCTGGTGAAGTCCGAGGAGATTGTGCTGCAGTATTGCAAGTCAGTAGACCAAGTAGCTGACATGTTTACTAAGCCGATGAAGATAGATTCCTTCCTTAAACTTAAGAGAATGATCGGCATGGTCAAGATGAACTCGGCTTAAGGGAGGCTGTTGGAAATCGCAAAGGATTTTTCAAATCTCAAGGAGACTCTTCGTAACCCAAGTTCATCTTGATACTTGGAATCTAGAAAGTTGTTACCTAGAAGGTTATGTCTTTTAAGATAGCCTTTAATGTTATGAATCAAGACGTGTCTGTTCATGTGACTAGAGTAAACATAGAGTCGTGTGTTAATCCTATATATATGTGCGTCTTGTAATCTTTTTTTATATACAAGCAAATACAATAGTATTTCAAATTTTCTTCTAATAGATACTTTCGAGGATTGCGCGCAAGCAACCTATCTCAAATGCATGTTGTAATCAAGTAAGACTTAAATCACGAGATAGAAGACATAGCCCTCGATGTTACACCTAGTAACGAGAAGAGGTGATGTGTAGTATTCAAAGGGAGCACTAAATTATCTAGTCAACTCTTTCAAAAGCTTACCCGAATCCATAAATTTTAAGCCAAGTGCCGTGCGGGTCACATGATACATCTCACATATTTCAAACTTAGGGCATCTAATTACTTATCGTTTTTTATTTTTAGCTCGAAGTAATATATTCTTACATCAAGGACTGAACTACAACTCTTCAAATACGCTAATCAAGCTCGTGATGTTACACCGATCCATCGAAATCGATTTTCTTCTTCTTCTTATTCTTCTTCTTTGCTTGTTAGGTCGTCCTTTCTGGGTTCCACGAGATCTGGAGACTCGTATTAGGCTGGGTCAAATTCTGCCATCTGGCTCGAGTCAAAGGGGCCAACGCGGTGCGCTTGTCAGCTCTCACACACAATCATATGGGCCATTGAGAAAATAATGATTTTGTTCTTTTTAAGGACAAAAATGGGTTGACTTTTTCCCTTCTGGGGCGAAGAGTTTTGACCTCCGAATGATATCTAATTTTGTTATTAAAAAGTAAATAAAATGAAGTCACGAAAAGTATAAAAAGCCAAAGGGAGGTAGGCATGGCATGTGACATTTGACCTCGAGATGTTTAATCCTAAGTGTAAGGCACTTCGACAAGTTAAAAATATGAGATTCCGATTGATATTCTAGATAGAACGGAATTAAACATTGGTCAGAACATAAGTAGTTTTTTCTTTTCAAGATAACATAAATTTAGCAATGTTTTTAGGAGAGTAGTAGATGACTCACCGTCCTAGTGATTAACATGAAAGAATTCACACCCTTATTAATTCATGAAGGGTGGTGAATCATATTGCCGGTTGAATGTCGAAGGTCTTGAGGCAACCTCTCCCTGCCTTTTGTTTCACCCGGCCATCGGGAATGCCTAATGACTAATCGAATTCTACGTGTACGTCGGCTTCTTTTATGCTTACTCGATCTGTAAGTTCTGTAAGCGCAAAAAATTGATTCGATCGATATGATGAACTCGACAGTTTGCAACTTTATCAAAGCCATATGCATCCCATCACGATATTATATGTGTAGGGTATAGTTTATTATCCCTACTATCTTTTTCCTAGAATAATGACAAAAGAAGTTTTAAAAATCTATTGCTTATGCCAATTCAGTCATAAACCTTTCAATTTGGCCAATTTAGTTCTAAACGTTTTGACGATTTATCAATTTAGTCCATCGGGCCAATTTTAGCTGG